ATCTCTGTATTTTCCACATTAGTTAAACAATACTAACAACATACAAGGAATATGAATTTGTAAAAAGTTTAGTTGTTGTAATTATTCATCTTTCTATGCCCTAATTATGGCTGAGATGACTATTGTAAAAGTAATTTTATTATCCTTTTAAATAAAACTATAAAAACATCAAATCTGCGTGCATGCGTTTCATGGTAGTTTCTATCGGAAAGGGGGGAGGCGGGGGGAGATGTGGGGGGGATGTGGGAGTGAGGATTTCTGAATCCTCACTGAGATATCCTCCAGTGGGAATAAGCGATTTAAGAAACTTTAAGGGAATTACCGCAGGGACATATGCGGGTTTTTTTTTTCAAACGGTGACCCTTCCTTTTTTCTTGAATAGAAACAAAAAAAATGGATCCAAACTGATCATAATTATGATCTTTTGAATCATGTTTACAGAACTTCCTCGAAAGGTCCGTGGAGGTAGCTTAACATCCAATCTACACATTCCTCTGAGAATTAGACAGCTCACTCAAACTCCCCTGTATCTCTTGCTGTTTTACTTTTCCCTAAACAGTTCAAATACACGGAGTTCTATTGAACTTGAAGAATTCAACCTGATTTCCAAGTACTTTCTTGAATCTGGCCTTTCTGGAATCTGGCGCTTAAACTTGAACCCTGCAGGGTCGCTACGAATGTCGAGTCAAAATTCTTCCGAACTGAGGAAGCAGGAAACAAAGGGAACGTATTCTTTCCGATCAGTAAAATTGCATGACTTTGCAAGATTTTTTACAGGACTTTGTTGATGTTTTCTAAACCCTTTTATCAAAAAGTTGCTTTCACGGATGGAACGCGATCATTGGATTGGGGTATTTCTTCGTTGTTGATTATTTTGAGGAAATCTACAGGAAAACTTCTACGACTTTCTAGGTTGACTATAACTTCATTTACCACTATGACAATAAGTTTTCAAGCTGCAACATATTTTTAGGTTTTCTGACAGGAAATGCAGAGACAGAACTAGAAAAGAATAACAGAAACTCAGGCAACGAACTCTTCTATTCAAAGCACGTGATTCAAGGGGAAAAAAACGCTTCCCAACATATGGGGGATCAGAGTCAAAATAACATGTCACACAACACGTCACACAACATGTCACAACCAACGATGACAACACTTGAACTTTTTGTTATATTTTGCTTGTTTTGCCTGTAATTGAATTGAGCTGGAATCATTGTTTATTTCCTATAGTGTGATCGGTTAATTTTGTTGAAGTGATCCTGGTAACAGCAGTGAACTTATGAGAGTGTTGCGATCTAGACATGTTCTATTCTGAGCTTGTAGTATCATGGAAGAAGATACTTTATTCATTAACCCTTTAACTCCCTTTGGTGACCAGGACAGAATTTCTCCTTGCACTACCAATACAATATCAAGCAGACAAGTGATGAGAATAAAGAAAATATCAATTAGAGGATGATTAGTTGATCCAGTACCAATTCCCTAAAATAGCATGGCCGACAGCAAGACAAATTACTAGTAACAAAATCTATGAAATCTAGGGAGGAAAAAGGTAAATTATAGGAACAGTAACTGTAATGATAGTAATTCCTCTCTGTTGTCGGCAGCGCGCTTCAGCACTCATCGATTCTCCAGTGCAGAGGAAGAGAGGGCTTTTTTGATTTATAACTACAAACCGACTGATGTACAAGACTACTTGCCTTTTATACAAGCTTACTTTTTAAAAGGTCACTCAATGACGATCTGTAGAAATCCTGTTTAGAAAAGATCACTTAAACGAACAACAGGCGAGTAAACCCAACGGTGGTAAAGGTTTTCACGACCGCCGAAGGAAACTGCCGCCAAAAAAACTTAAAAAAACTTTTTCCATCTCTGTATTTTCCACATTAGTTAAACAATACTAACAATATACAGGGAATATGAATTTGTGAAAAGTTTCTGTCATTATTCATTTTTCTCAGCCCTTATTATGGCTGAAACGACTGTTGTGAAAGTTTATTATTCTTTAAAATTAAACTGACTGTAAAAACTACACACCTGCCTGACACCCGTACACTTTTCCCCGAGAAAGCATGCGTGCGTTTAGTAGTCGTTTTTATCGGAAAGGGGGGTGGCGGGGGAAGGTGTGGGAGCATCAGGTTTGTCGTTAAGATTCATCTTACTTGAATTCAAGTCAGATTAAGCTGAAACATTCAATGATATCAATAAGGGATATATTTCAGTGCATCACCTTCATCCACCTAACTCTTCAATGGTTATTTTCTAATTCCTCACTGAGATATCCTCCGATGGAAATAAGCGATTTAAGAAACTTTAAGGGGATTACCGCAGGGACATATGCGGGACTTTATTTCTAACCGTGATCCTTCCTTCTTTCTTAAAGAGAAACAAACAGAATGGATCCAAATTTACCATTATCAGATTATGATCGTGAAAGTTACCTTTTGAACCATATTTACAGAACTGCTTCCAAAAGCCCGCGAAGGTAGCGTAACACCCAATTTGCACAATGCCTCTGAGCATTGTACAGCTCATGCGAACTCCCCTGTATCTCGTGCTGTTTTACGCTTTCCTTAACAGTTCAAATACACGGAGTTCCATTATACTTCGTAAAAAATTCAACCTGATTTCCAAGTACTTTCTTGAATCTGGCCTTTCTGAAATCTGGCGCTTAGATTTAAACCTTACAAGGTCGCTACGAATGTTGGGTCAAAATTCTTCCGAACTGAGGAACCAAGAAACAAAGGGTTCGTATTCTTTCCGATCAGTAAAATTGCATGAATTTTCAGGACATTTTACAAGACTTTGTCGATGTTTTCCATACCCTTTTATCAAAAAGTTACTTTCACGGATGAACGCAATCACTGGACCGGAGCATTTCTTTGTTGTTGATTATTTTGGGTAAATCCGCAGGAAAACTTCCACGACTTTCTAGGTTGACAATAAGTTCGTTTACCACTGTGACAATAGGTTTTCCAGCTCCAACATATGTCCAGGTTTTCTGGCAGGAACGCTATTGAATTGAGGGAAAATAGCTCTGTGGGAACGGAAATTCGATATCATTTCCTGGAACACGAAGATCAACCTCAATGGCGTTCATGCGGAGCTCAAGGAGACAAGGACTTTTAAAATAGTCAGTACTCGGTTCCAACACTAATTTATTTGGAATTCCTCGTAATAAGTAATGGTAATAAGACTAAATGGAGTCCAATTCGGTCTTTAATCGTACGAGTGATAACAAAATCAGACAACCGCGCAGCGGAGTCAGATTTGTTTATCACCGTATCAAGAAAAGCGGATCAACTTAAAGTTAAGCAGGCTTTGTTTAACGATTAAAAATGACCGTATATGGCTACTTTGGAACAATGGCGGAAACAGCTTTAAAATACACGCGGGATTTTCCAAAATTTCCGATTATCATACGAGTGGCAGATTTAACAGAAACTCAATTGAAATCTTATCGTGACAATTTAACGTTGAGGCGCTTTAAAAACACTAGACAAAATTAAAACAGGTAATTAAGTGTTAACAACTGAGTTTAAAATGTAAATTGGCCACCGTAAAGAGTAAAAAAGCTGACGTTTCGAGTGTTAGCCCTTCGTCAATCGCTTAAATTACCTGCTATACTCTCCCATTGACGCAGCACCACAGTTTCTTTAGAGACTTAACCCCTTTATTCATTTAAAATTTATAACAGCACGCTTTGAGCTTTGATTGACAATATTCAGGTTAGAACTCTTTTCACGTCTTCTTAACACCCCTTGGTTCGTTAAAATGCCGCCTCGCTTGATTGAGAACAAACAAAGTCCAAGCGTCCGCTTTCTACAAGGGGAATATTTGGGAAACTGTTGATAACTTAATAATTTTAATAAAGACTTTTAGAATCCGTCGTAAAACTATTTAAGTTCAAGCAAGACCTGTTTTTTTTTTCTCCGAAAGAGAATTTAAAACATTTGAACACAACATTTCTTAGCACAAAAGACGAGCGAAATGCGCTTAAGTCAAAAGAACGAAGTAACAAGTTTGAAAGTTTTCGCGATAAAAAAATTCACAACTTGAAATTAGAAATGAACAGAAGGAAAGCGAGAAAAAGGGAAGTAAAATCTTGTAATAAATAATAAATAATGTAAACTTCTTACTTATTCCGAGAATATAATGTCCAAGTAAAGTAACAGGAAGATAACTTGTTCGATTAATAAGAACTAGTAAAATTATCTTGAGGATATCTTTTCAGCCGCACACTTGTAATTATGAGCGGAAAAACGGCTCGATAAAATTGAAAACGTATGATGTTTGGCTACTAATTGAACTAAGGCTACGAAAGCGTCGTCAAAGGAAGCACTGTTCTGTTATGTTTCCAAATATAACTTCGTACTCGTTAATTGAAAAGATGAACTACCATTGGTTTTTACTCTTTTTTTCACAGCAAAGCTGTCTAATATAACAAAACAAATTTGCCAGATAAGAATTGCCTGTTGTTTGACCAAGAAATATCAAGTCAAGTCTCGTAATACGTGTACTAACTTAATCAATGATATTGTTGCAACTTATTTTACTTATTTAAGTATGAGTATATGTAATACAGACTGGCTCTTGAAAGCTGTGTGAAATATTAATGGTTTACATCATTTTCAGCCTTTGCCTAGGGCTTTTAAGGAATTTACGGACTCCGTTGAGGAGACAACGAAAATTATCAAGTTATCTTGATAAGGAATTAGAAAATTGGTAGAAACTTATAAAAAGAAGAGAACAGCCAATCGAAACAAGACAAACCACGAACAAGTCTATTCCGCCTATTCGGAAAGGTTTTGATGTCAAGAAACATACTGAACACGGACTGTTACGAACCATACTAATTCAAATTTTAATCTCGTAAGTTGTACTCAAGTGTTGCGGTTATGCTACGAAATAATTCATTTCATTGTCTCGTCTGGGAATCTCAGCAATTCAAGAAAATGACTTGCAACTAATTCTTACGATTTCTGTCCTCCTATTTCTCACTCCTTTTTTGTCTTTCGCTTTTTAGAGGATTCAGCACTACTTTCAAACAAGCTTTGACTCAAGCCATCGATCCCATCGTTTTTCACTAGAGCAAGACTATCTTCACGTGCGCGTTTCCGGGAACGGTAGTTAGTGGGAGGAAAATGACACTCCTCGGCTTGCCGTAAAGTGTCCTGAGCCAAATAAACAGACCTCACGAGACTTTTGGTAGCTGGTACAGACGCATCATAAACACGCACAGGTCGTGGCTTTTTCTGGTAAATACTACGAGCAAGTTCGTGATACTCCTTGGCCTTCTCAAAGTCTCCCAGTTGTTGATGAACGGAACCCAAGTTATTGTAACTAGTTGCCACTTGTACATTCTCAGGTCCTAGCTTATTCTGTCTAATACTCAGAGCAAGCTCGTGATACTCCTTGGCCTTCTCAAAGTCGCCCAGTTGTTCGTGGACAGAACCCAAGTTATTGTAACTAGCTGCCACTTCTACATTCTCAGGTCCTAGCTTTCTCTGTCTAATACTCAGAGCAAGTTCGTGATACTCCTTAGCCTTTTCATATTCGCTCTGTTCTGCGTGCACCACACCCAAGTGATTGTAACTAGCTGCCACTTCTACATTCTCAGATCCTAGCTTTTTCTGTCTAATACTCAGAGCAAGTTCGTGATACTCCTTGGCCTTCTCAAAGTCGCCCAGTTTGTTGTTCACCATACCCAAGTTGTTGTAACAAGTTGCCACGTCTACATTCTCAGGTCCTAGCTTTTTCTGTCTAATACTCAGAGCAAGTTGGTGATACTCCTTGGCCTTCTCAAAGTCGCCCAGTTTGTCGTGCACCAGACCTAAGTTGTTGTAACTAGTTGCCACTTTTACATTCTCAGGTCCTAGCTTTTTCTGTTTAATACTCAGAGAAAGTTCGTGATACTCCTTGGCCTTCTCAAAGTCGCCCAGTTTGTCGTGCACCAGACCTAAGTTGTTGTAACTAGTTGCCACTTTTACATTCTCAGGTCCTCGTTTTTTCTGGTTAATACTCAGAGCAAGTTCGTGATACTCCTTGGCCTTCTCAAAGTCGCCCAGTTTCTCGTGCACCAGACCTAAGTTGTTGTAACTAGTTGCCACGTGTACATTCTCAGGTCCTAGCTTTTTCTGGGTAATACTCAGAGCAAGTTCGTGATACTCCTTGGCCTTCTCAAAGTCGCCCAGTCTGTTGTTCACCATACCAAAGTTGTTGTTACAAGTTGCCACTTGTACATTCTCAGGTCCTAGCTTTTTCTGTCCAATACTCAGAGCAAGTTCGTGATACCCCTTGGCCTTCTCAAAGTCGCCCAGTTTGTCGTGCACCAGACTTAAGTTGTTGTAACTAAATGCCACTTTTACATTCTCAGGTCCTAGCTTTTTCTGGTTAATACTCAGAGCAAGTTCGTGATACTCCTTGGCCTTCTCAAAGTCGCCCAGTTGTCCGTGCACCACACCCAAGTTGTTGTAACTAGTTGCGACGTCTACATTCTCAGATCCTAGTTTTTTCTGTCTAATACTCAGAGCAAGCTCGAGATACTCCTTGGCCTTCTCAAATTCGCCCAGTTTGTCGTACACCACACCCAAGTTGTTGTAACTAGTTGCGACGTCTACATTCTCAGATCCTAGCTTTTTCTGTCTAATACTCAGAGCAAGTTCGTGATACTCCTTGGCCTTCTCAAAGTCGCCCAGTTTGTCGTGCACCCAACCCAACGTGTTGTAACTAGTTGCCACTTTTACATTCTCAGGTCCTAGCGTTTTCTGGTAAATACTCAGAGCAAGTTCGTGATACCCCTTGGCCTTCTCAAAGTCGCCCAGTTGTTCGTGCACCGCACCCAAGTTGTTGTAACTAGTTGTCACTTTAACATCCTCAGGTCCTAGTTTTTTCTGTCTAATACTCAGAGCAAGTTCGTGATACTCCTTGGCCTTCTCAAAGTCGCCCAGTTTGTTGTGCACCACACCCAAGTTGTTGTAACTAGTTGCGACGTCTACATTCTCAGATCCTAGTTTTTTCTGGTAAATACTCAGAGCAAGTTCGTGATACTCCTTGACCTTCTCAAAGTCGCCCAGTTGTTCGTGCACCAGACCCAAGATGTTGTAACTAGTTGCCACGTGTACATTCTCAGGTCCTAGCTTTTTCTGGTAAATACTCAGAGCAAGTTCGTGATACTCCTTGGCCTTCTCAAAGTCGCCCAGTTTGTCGTACACCAGACCCAAGTTATTGTAACTAGTTGCAACACTGGTGTGCTTAGGTCCAAATTTTTGGAGGAAAAATTGCAATGAAAATTCATAGAATTTCTTTGTGGCCTGAAAATGACAATGGTTCTCACATATCTTGCCGAGACTTTCCATGTTAGGCTGGAAGATTTGTGAAAAGGCAACTTTCGAAAGTACGTTTTCAAAACTAAGAATGAAATTTTTCAAATGTAGGGCAAGGGCGTGGCTTTGAATAATTGAATCTGACGATTCCTCCGGTAGGTTGACATCTATAAACTGGTTAAACGCCGCAACAGTGCTTTTCAAAGTTTTCATGTGACGGCTCTCCGGATAGCCCTTAATCAAAGACTTTACGACATCGCGCACAACCTGATGTACCCGTATGTGGAAACCAAACTCATCTTCATGTGTTAAAATTAGCGAACATCTTTGGAGTTTCATAATTATCATCTCTTTATCTTTTATTCCTTCATCGACGCTTACGATATAATTCACCACGATATCCGCATTTAAGGGCTGTGACGAAAGGAGGCAGAGAAAACTTAATGCGTGATCTATGATTCTGTCTGATTGCATCACTTCTTTAATGGCCAGTGTTGTTGCTGTTGTCATCGATTTCTTGTAACATGGGTTGGTCTCTGTAAGTAGAGTCTCTGTCGCATCACGTTGCCCTTTCTCTACTTTCCTCAGAAAGTCATTCCATCCAAACTCTGAGGAACGTTTGCTCTGTCGGAGTTGCTTCACATAGGTGGCTGCACTTGCTAAAGCAAGAGGTTGGTAGTCGAGTTCTCTAGCTACTAGTTCTTCTATCTCACTATCACTGATACCAGAAATAAGGGCTAACAAAGAACACGCCTCTTGGGACTGCATACCCTCGCTTACTGAGATGTGTCGAATGGAAGTGCTTGTTAACGGTATACATGTATTGTCTTGGGTTGTGATCAATAGATACCCCTTTCCCCACTGTCCATGTCCTTGCTGTGGTAAATGAACATGCATTTCAGATAAGCTTTTCACGTTGTCAGCCAACAGAAGCCAGGACTCGTACTGACCAATCTTTGAGCTGATTAAGGATATCAGGCTGCTAATCTTGTCCTCTGTCTTCAAATCTTTGGAGATGTGGATTTGTGTAATCGCATCTTCGGGGCACTTTATTTGTCGAGCGAACGTGATGTAAGAATCCAAAAGTGAGCCTAGCGTCTCGGTATTCAGTGTCATTACAAACACTTTAGAGCAGGAATCTTCTTGGGCTTTCTCGTAAAATCTCTTGGCTACAAGACCTGCCAGTTGGGATTTACCGCTGCCAGGATTCCCGGATATATACAAGATACTTAAGTTGCTCGCATCAGCTTGCTTAAGCTCCTGCAACTGGTCTGTGATGTTAGCAACCTCGATATCGCGACTTGCTATGTCGTGTGAAGGTTTAGGAGGAAGAATGCAAAACGGTGAGATGTCGTTCATGAGTTGTTCTGAAAGAACCTTAAGTTGTTTTCCTTTCTCTTGTAACTGATCTTGGAGGCTCTTTCGTCTCTCTTCTGTTTCCTTTAAGTTATCTTGAAGGTTCCTTTGTCGTTCTTCTGTTTCCTGTAGTTCATTTTCTTTTTTCTCTAAGAGATCCCCAAGACCCATTCGTTTTTCTTCTGCTTCGTTCATCTCATATTTAAGAACCTGTAGTTGTTTTTCAGTTTCCTTGAGCTGATCTTCAAGAAAAATTTGTTTTTTTCTTGTTTCCTTCAGCTGATCTTCCAGATCCTGGCGTTGACTCTTTGTCCTCTTCAGCTGATCTTCCAGGTCCTTGTTATCTTTCTCTTTGATGTCCAAGTCTTTCTTTAAAGCTTTCACTTTGTCTAAGAGATCTCCTACCTCCTCTGTCAGAAACGTCTTTTGGTTTTTGATCTCTTGAATTTCTACAGTGGAAAGACCTAGTGCTTGGAATGCAGCAAAAACTTTGCCAATAGCAATTTTAAAGTCTAACTCCGAAAGTTGACCTTGTGGCATATGAGCAAACTCTTCATTGCGAAATTTTCTGAGATCGTCGACATTCGTTCTCACCACCGCTTTTAGACTGTAGATGCAACCTGAGTAGAGAATGGCGTAAAACAACATGGTAGAATCCCATTCCGCTCTATTACCTTTAATCATGGTCTTATGCTTGTTCCTCCTTTGGTTTTCCGGGGACACGTTATTGCAAAAGTCTTTCCCGTTACTAGGATCATCTTTCCATTTTCCAAGTGTTGTTCCGTAACACCTGTCCCATTCTTGTTTGAAAATTGTTCGCAAACCTTTGGTTAAGATATCAGTTGTGACGTGACAAATCTTGAAATAGTTTAGCTCCTTCTCAGTAAATTCTTTTGCAGCGGCCATGTCTTTCGTAGGCGTGTCTTGTAAGCCTTTGTGAAAAATACTAATATCAGCTAACAGTCAAAAATAATTACCAAATCTAAAACTTTAGCAATTAAACTATTTCAAGCTACAACAAAAAACTGGTAACAGTATTTTCAAGACCTGTCCTGGCGCCAAAAGAGCTACGTCCTGAAATATGTCATGCAGTCTATTTAAGGGGCGTTAATTAATTAATTGATACACTAATTTCAAATCAATCAGTTATAAAATCAATAAAACGAAGTAGAGAGTAAAGGAGAGAGAATAAAGCGCTTGGTTTAAGGACCATTGATAAAACCAGGCCCATGGAACATTCTGGCAAATTCCGTAACATCCCTAAACATTCTAATTAACAAATAGAGAAGCCTTGACTGTGCTCTGTTCTGTTGTAAAGCACGTAGGAAGCGGCTAAAGCGCGAAAGAAGTGAGGTGTTTTGTCTCCACTCACGTTATAATAACGTAAATTACGGTGCTTGGCATGTTTGCAAGGTTCTCCTGTTGCTACAAGGCGGCTCGCTTGTTCCGAAATTTGACTATCAATTAACGAAAAAAAGCTAGAGAGAAGGCCGAATATTTTGGCGTTACAGCTTTAGCTCAGCTCTATTCTTTATACTTGGATCGAGCACGCTCTTTCAACCAATGACAGCGCGCATTATATACGAACTTTATCATAAAACATCCTGGATAATTTTTGAATAATCCCAAAAACCCCAAAAAGTCAACGATTGTGAAGATTGTGAAAAAAATAAAAGTATCTACAGCCCACGATTGATCAGTTTGCATCTTTTAGGTACATTGTAGTGTACAAATTAATTTTTCTTAATACCCAGTTTCATGCAAAATGTATGTCAAGCAATCAAGCGAGGAAGGTAGTCATAGAAATAAGGCAATAGGATGAATTTTTTTCATTTTACATTTAATGTGAATACATCTGAAAAAACCCCCCAACTAATGGTTATCGCTTAACCTTTTAACCCCTAAGAGTGACCAGCATCTAATTTCTCCTTACAATGTCACCCCTGAATTTCACATTAAAGTCATGAGAATAAGGAAAATGATCAACAGCCAGAGAAGCACTTGATTGTTAAACAAATTCTCCTTGTCAACACCTCAGGAAATGTATAGAAGACAGTATGGAGAATATGCAAACTGATGTTAGGGTGTATATGATGTTATATGATGGCACACAGATCATGTTTTATTGATATGATCGTTATATATGTACTTGTATTTCATGTCAGCTTGGTGACAGGAAAATTAAATACCATCCCCTTTGCTCTCTATACAAAGAACGACGTGTTATCCTCGCTCCCTGAATGAGTTTTACATACTGCCCCCTTCTCGATTTTAGCTCCCTCCCTTCTGACAATTGTTGCACAATCTCTAAAAAGGAATATAAGAGCGCATGCGTCACCAAGTCAGCCGCAGCAATCGAGCTGCGGGCGCGATATACACCATTTTAAAGAAGATAAATAATCAATTTGGATGTTTGGATGATAAACCTTTACCATTTTGTATCCAAATCATGTGACTGAAGTTGTGTCGAAACGACTTTCGACGTGTATCGGATCGACTTAATCGATGTATCGAATCAACTTCAGCTTGTTTCGAACCACCTCATAAGGAAACGATCGTAAACGGTTAAATTTATTCTACGCCCGGCGTGGTGAAACATCGCATGACCTAACGTACTCCCTTAAAGCCTGTCACGCAATTGCAAAGTGCACGCATTGCCGAACATGTGTTGTTTCCAAATGAGTAGTTGTATGGGAAATTGTGCCCTTTCACGACAAGACATTGTCGAAAAGTACCTTATATATTCCTGAAACTATTCCATCCCGCACAAAAACGAAGAAAAAAATTAATTCTAAGATACTGATTTTCTGGTTTCAATTCTAAAAATAAGCGTAATCACATCATCAAGAACTCGAAGGTCTTCTTTTACGTACAGTGCCTGGTTGATGTGGTCGCCACTGTGATAACGAACGATGTACAATGTTTAGTCGCCTTCTCTGAAAACAGGCGACGAAAAATTTCTAAAGATCACTGATTTAAGAGACCATTGTATGGATAGTGCCTATAATGAGGTATTGCACTCGTCTAATGAATCTTTGGTAGTGAGCCACCAGGTGCACCGAAACAACATTAGCAGACGTATACAGAAAACGAATCAGTCATCTTACCAAAATATTTTATCTAACATCGTGTAATCGCCTGTAGCGAAGGCGGAAATTTCTCAAATAGGACTCGCTGTTTATCACTACAGTGCAAGATGTGGTGACCGGAGCGTTACATTGAATTAGTTGATTGGTTCGTGACGGAAGTACAGATACATTATGATAGGTGATTTGGGTTGATTGATTGTAAGATCGGAGTTACTAGTGAGTAGGAGAATAAAAATAGTGTACATCAAACCAATGTGATTGTTTGTCGCGAAATCATTTACGACAAAAGTGGCGACCCCGCCAGGACAAACTAAGCATCATGACCAAAACAAACGAACAGCTAACCAAAGCAATCGACGCGAAGCTAGAAATCCTCAAGATTACAATAGAGCTATCTGTCACCGCAATTGAGAAGAAGAACATCGCGTGTTACACGTTGAAAAAGAAAGTTGATGAAGTTCACGACCTCAAGATAAACGTTCAAGAAAATAGGTTTGAAGCCGAAGAAGATAAAGAGGGCGTTTTGGAATGAAGCGCGCAAATTGAAGAAAGAGTGGGTGAATTTGGGAAAGCCATCAATGACATCGAGTTAGCTATTAGAGAATTTAGGAGTCGCAGCATAGGAAGAAGAAGAGCGAGCCGAAAAACAAAGAAAGAAGAAATTCGATGATGAAATAAAGTTAGAGGAAGCCAAACTAGAGCAAAAACGTAAATATGAGAAGAAAATCGACAGGAAAAAAGATCGAAACATCAACGCCAAGCTGCCAAAATTGGTTATTACAAAGTTGAAAGGCACCCCCACCGACTGGCTGCGGTTTTGAGACCAGTTTACGGCAGAAATTGACTCAGCAGACGTTTCACAGGTTACGAAGTCCTCCTAGCTCAAGGATGGTCTACCGCTTACAACAGAAAGCTACCAACGAGCGAAAAATATTCTGAGAGGCAAGTATGGGAAAGAAAATGAAATTGTTAGCGCTTACGTCACTAGTATCATGTCACTTCCGACGATTCATGGAACCAACCCAAACAAAATCTTGGATTGCTATGAAAAGCTGTGTTCGAACGTACTTTCCCTAGGAACTATGGGAAAGTTAGGAGAAGTAAATAAGTATGTCTGGATGACTCTGAATAAGCTGGAAGGGATTAGACGAGATTTAGTGCGAACCGATGACCAATGGCAGGAATCGAAATTTCCTCAACTTGTAGTAGCGTTACGGAAATGGACGGTGCGAAACCCGCCGAAATGCGATGAAGTGGAAGATCAAGGGAAGCAATTCACGCCATTAACGAAACCCCCATACAAGCCACCTACCGAACCGCCTCAATCTAGAAGTTTTCAAACAAGTCAACGTGAAGTAAAAAGAAGACCACGCGTCTATTGCCACCAGCTAAACCACTCATCGACAAACTGTGATAACGTCACGTCGGTCTCCGAGTGAACAAAGCTACTTATTCAAAAGCAATTATGCTTTAACTGCACCAGTCCAAATCACAGAGCTGAGGAGTGCCGCTGCGTTACGAAATGTTCACACTGCCGAAGGAGACACCACTCATCAATCTGCGAGAACATCTCTGGATACAAAAAACCTGAGCACATGTTAGTCGCCACTGGAAAAAGCAGTGTAACCTACCCGCTGGTCGTCGTTGAAGTTTGTGCTATTCGGTGCCGTGCGCTACTGGACACCGGAGCCGGAAGCTCATGCGCCTCAGCAGCCTTACTTGATCGAATAGGTAAACAACCAGTGCCCAAAGAGTTCAGAAATATCGAAATGCTCATGTAAACAACAGACCAAGAAATCGAAATCCATGATGGGGTGATTGAAAACCTCTCGGGAAATTTTCGCCCGCGCACAAAGATAAAAAAGGTGAACCTTGGTGTGTCGCTAACCCTAGCCAATCCTTGGTACAAAGACATCTTGGTGAAGTACGACCACCTGAGAGAAGTGGAAATAGATGATGTTGATTTAAAGAAAGAGCTCCCCGTCCACTTAATCCTCGGAACAAGCGAATACACAAGAATTAAAACGGAGACCACACCCAAAATGGGGAAACCTGCAGAACCGATTTCTGAACTAACGCACTTTGGATGGATCTTCATGTCTTCTGGAAGCGAACCACTCCTAACCCAGATGTTCCTGACCCAGACATCTAAAATTGATTATGAAGAGCTTAGCAGACTCGATGCATGTGCTTGGATTAGACGATTGTGCCGATGGCAACCAAAACCTAGTCTACGTGGAGTTTAAAGAACAGCTTGTGTGAAGCCCTAAAGGATGGTACGTAGCCGCTCTACTCTGGAAGGGGAGCCATCCACCCTTACCTCACAAAAAGCATGGGAGTTTGAAGCGCTTGGACAACCTAGTGAAAAAATTGGAGAAGAAGCCAGGCATGTTGCCAAAGTATGATGACATCACCCTGGACCAGTACACGCAGGCAATATTGGAACGAGCGCTCAAGAAACCAGAATAAAAAGAGTTCTACCTTCCACAAAAAGCCGTAGTGCGGGAGACAGCAGAGAGCACTAAGATCCGCATTGTCTACGATGGACCTGCCCCAATTAGTAAATCAGCACCCTCCCTTAGTGAGTGTTCAGAGACAGGTTCCACCCCCGCAGAATAAGCTTTGGAGTGTTCTCGCTAGGAACAGATTCTATCCCGTGGTTCAAGCAAGTGATCTAAAACAAGCGTTCTCGCAAGTGAGGACCAGAAAGGGAGACTGGGACACGATGCGATTTCATTGGTTGAAGGACCTGGAGACTAAGCAAGTGGAACCACTCAGATTCACACATGCACTATTCGGGCTGTCCACATCACCATT